ATTGTGTCTATGGACAGACAGTCGGACAGATTGTGTCTATGGACAGACAGTCGGACAGATTGTGTCTACAGACGGACAGTCAGACGGATTATGTCTATGAAAAGACAGTCAGACAGATTGTGTCTATGGACAGATAGTTGGACAGATTGTGTCTATGGACAGACAGTCGGACATATTGTGTCTATGGACAGACAGTCGGACAGATTGTGTCTATGGACAGACATTTGGACATATTGTGTCTATGGACAGACAGTCCGGACAAATTGTGTCTATGGACAGACAGTCGGACAGATTGTGTCTATGGACAGACAGTCGGACAGATTGTGTCTACAGACAGACAGTTGGGACATATTGTGTCTATGGACAGACAGTCGGACAGATTATGTCTATGGACAGACAGTCGGACAGATTGTGTCTATGGACAGACAGTCATACAGATTGTGTCGATGGACAGACAGTCGGACATATTGTGTCTATGGACAGACAGTCGGACAGATTGTGTCTATGGACAGACAGTCGGGACATATTGTGTCTATGGACAGACAGTCAGACAGATTGTGCCTATGGACAGACAGTCGGACATATTGTGTCTATGGACAGACAGTCGGACAGATTGTGTGGATGGACAGACAGTCGGACAGATTGTGTCTATGAACAGAGTTGGACAGATTATGTCTATGGACAGACAGTCGGACATATTGTGTCTATGGACAGACAGTCGGGACATATTGTGTCTATGGACAGACAGTCGGACAGATTTTGTTTATAGACAGACAGTTGGACAGATTGTGCCTATGGACAGACAGTCGGACAGATTGTGTCTATGGACAGACAGTCAGACAGATTGTGTCTATGGACAGACAGTTGGACAGATTGTGTCTATGGACACACAATAGGACAGACAAATGGACGTGTCACACATTGGACTTATCTTGAATGTGCTGAGCGATATGTGTAATGAGTTTCTCAAAAACAAAAAAGAGGCATGAAGACAAGTATACCATCATCGCAAATGTCTGGTTCTCCATCTGGACCTTGGTTGGAATGTCGACCTGGGTCACTATCACATCACCAGTGGTAGGCATGGTCAAGGTGAGGGTGGGAAGGAGCTTCTCGTTGACAGCCCACGTTTGAGACGGAGTAAACTTCACTTTCACACCCAGAGCAGAGCGATCAGCCTCAGGAATCGACCCACCAGCAATATCAGTCACTTTCACCTAAAAAATGTACAACATAGAATTGGGTGAATTCTACATTACTGAAATATTGGTTTTATTTGAACAGTAGGGACATCCCTACTATACATCTCAAACTACAAGCACTTTATTTTGTCATTCTTATTTCATGTACAAACGATTAACGCTAAACATGAAGCAGACAATCCACATGTTACCAACAACTTCCCGTTAACTGGTTAAATATCTCTACATTTTAAAACCCTGTCCAGAAGACTGCTTCCCTCCAATAAATATCTCTACATTTTAAAACCCTGTCCAGAAGACTGCTCCCCTCCAATAAATATCTCTACATTTTAAAACCCTGTCAATAAGACTGCTTCCCTCCAATTAATATCTTCACATTTTAAAACCTTGTCCCGAAGACTGCTTCCCTCCAATAAATATCTCTACATTTTAAAACCCTGTCCAGAAGACTGCTTCCCTCCAATAAATATCTCTACATTTTAAAACCCTGTCAATAAGACTGCTTCCCTCCAATTAATATCTTCACATTTTAAAACCCTGTCCCGAAGACTGCTTCCCTCCAATAAATATCTCTACATTTTAAAACCCTGTCCATAAGACTGCTTCCCTTCAATAAATAACTTCACATTTTAAAACCCTGTCCTGTGAGAAGACTGATTCCCTCCAATACATATCTTCATATTTTAAAACCCTCTCCTGTGAGAAGACTGATATAAACCCTGTCCTGTGAGAAGACTGATATAAACCCTGTCCTGTGAGAAGACTGATATAAACCCTGTCCTGTGAGAAAACTGATATAAACTGGCCCTAGTTCTAATGCTCCCAACACTCTAGACCTCAAAAAAACTGCAAATGGAAATAAAACCTCCATTTCATTTTCAGAGCTGTTAATGGTTAAAAATGTTCTGTTGGAAATTGGATTTGCTTTTCTTTAACTTTCATGGTTTTCTTTCACTCTTTGTATGAAACAAACCTAAACCATGTATCTCTGATTCTGTGAGACCTCCCAGTATGTTAACAACTATCAAGAGGTCATAGTAAATACTCACGAATATATTGAGGGGCATGCCGTACACAAACGATCCATCGTCGTTGATGAAGGCAATCTTGTAGGGTTCAACGAACATTGGCACACTCCCTTCAAACATCTCCTCTTTATCAGTTACAGCTTCAATGACGGTGACCTTGACCCCTGCCTGGGGGTCAGCCTGATATCCGCGATAGGCTATCACCTCACTTCGAGACACAGTGCTGGTGAAGGTAGCCATTCCATTCTATAAAAGATAAAACAGACATGGTCTGTATTGCACACCTGTTTGTGTGTAAAGTGAAAGAAAAATAATTTGACTCTTGTGACCTTGAACGTAAAAGTCAAGGTCATCTCTTTTCACAAAATGTGTAGCACTCCATGACAGCAAGTCCTCGGCCAAACATCATGACTATAGGCCTTTCATTTCTTAAGAAACCCTTTCAGACATTGAAACTAAGTAAAGATCATTTTATTTCACAACCTCTGTCAGGCTCTATTCGAGGAAGCTACCAGCCAAATATTATAACTCTATGTCTTAAGGTTTTCAGACATTGGTTGAAGAATTTGACATACATGTATTGACCCAATATTTACCCTTTATGTTTGGAACTAGAGGACCTTCAGCCCTGTATTGCTCACCTGGTTTTTTATCTGAACTAAACAATAATTTAAATGTTTCCTATAGCATGAAATTTAGGTGGTAATTTCATATTTCTTCTTGGTCTAAAGAAAAACACACACACAATAATGGGAGCTATTGCGCATTTGGTTAAAACTGGAACACTGACCTGTTAGAATTGAGAATTAGTCAAACAATGACAATGGCACCTGTTCAGGACCATGACAGCATTATTCAAATCAAGTTTGGTTATACTCCCACACTGGTGGAACTTGAGAAGTTCAAACAAAGTGCACTTGGTACGGGACAATTTTCAGCACGAATGTGTTTTTCTTTTAGTTGCTATAATGTTTATCATTAAAGGACAGACATTGCATACAATTATGAGTTTATAAGAAATCCCTTCGGTAGTTTTTGAGATACACTTGACACAATATTCTCAACAAGATTTTTTACAAAAGTGGGAAAAACTCGACAAAATTTTGTAAAAATTGAGCAAAAGAAAAAAAGGGAACAACATCCTATGACTAGGAAGCATCGTGCCAAGCGTAAGAGAAACACCATCGATTCCGATATACCTCGCCTCCCCCACCAACTTTGTTGGGGGATGGGGTAAAACACTGACAGGCCAGGAAGAGCCCCACCATCTGCCCGACTGTACTATCCCTTCACAGACTATCTTAACCTTATATAATTAACAGTAGCCTTAACCTTGAAGAGGCCCAGGGGTCTTAATAGCACACCTGGTGTTTCATTTTCAATTTAAAACCTGCTCAGTATCATACCTGTTTATCAAAGGAGTAAAAGAAGCAAAGTTGCAAGAAGAACTGCATGTAAATCTGTTTTGGTAGAAAAGGAGAAGATTTTTGAAGATTTACCTCTTTTACCCCTATTAAGCCTCGTCCCTCTGCCCTTCAGGGGGGCCATAACCTCCAATTATAAACAAATTGAGAACTCTTTAGCCAATGATGCTCCAGACCAAAATTTGTCAAAATCCATTGAGCTGCTAAGGACTAGAAGCGTTTCAAAGGGGAAAGTTGATGGACGATGGACACCAGAAGATGGACACCGGACGACGGATTGACAACGAACATTGTGTCATTGCATAAGCTCACTTGGCTCTTTGGGCCAGGTGAGCTAAAAAAAAATCAAAGGGCTACTCACATTACTTAATTTAAAATTAAAAAGATTAACTGAAACTATTTTTCCTAGCAACCACCGCTACCATAGTTACCATCATAGCAAACTGCTTCAACTGTTTTTTCTCCGTATGTAGCATTTAAACACTTTTTGGATGTAACGTGTACTTGAATTTTAACACTCAGATTGGTGGCCTTCATCCATAGGTAAAACATTGTGCTGTACAAGGGTTAGGTGATGTCTTACCACAAGTGTTTTCTCTGTGTCCTGGCTTCTGCCACCACTGGTTACCTGAAGTATAGCTCTTCCGTTGACTGGCTTCCCATAGGTGTATCTGTAACAAATGTATTAGCAACATCATTAGCACTGCCCAACCATGTACTAATTTACAGCTGAGTAGACTGGAACATGCGGAGTAAAGTATCTTGCTCAAAGATACAACACATTGCCGTGGCGCAAACCCGCAACCCTTCGGTCACGAGCCCGGCATTCTACCACTAGACTACCGTGCCTCCAATGTGTAAACATAAACAAACCACTGTACACTACAGATGCTACCTTAAAATCAACACCTGGTGTAGTACTATGTAATAGGAAAGCTAAGCAATCGTCGACTCAACAGGATTCTCCCAAGAGTTACTGCCCTTGTTATGACACTTACTTGGCTATTACATCTATAGTCAGCTGTCCATTATTTGTCCCAGGATACAACTTCACAAAATCTGGTAGATTAGCTTCAACAGAGTACTTCGGCAGAACTGTATCAAATAAAAATACAGGTTCTAGAAGATAAATAATGCAAAATCTCATGTAAGACTAGACTTCGTTTTAATATTGGTCTGAAATTTAAAAAGTTTATGGAGTTTGAGGAAGGAGTTTAAATAATCACATTAAAATAATGTTAAGATGTTTTGTATGCCTGATTGTCCAGAAGCAACTTGACATGATATATTTTTTTGATAATGAAGAATTTCATGGAATTGACAAGAGTACCGCGGGGCGGAACAAAATACGCCCATCAAATGCCATATAGTGTTATATACTTTCTTAAATTGAAATAAGATCTGCATCATTCTAGAGTGGTTAGCTGATATGCTATGAAATTCTTTTAAGGGAGACACAACGTCATATCATGATTATTATGTATACCAAGTTTCAAAGAGATCCGTTGAAAAATGAAGGAGGAGATTTCCGGACAAAAATCAAATACTGAAATAAACAAAGGGCAATAACTTTTGCAAAAATTGTTGAATCAAAATTCTTTTAAGGGAGACACAACTTCATATCATGATTATTATGTATACCAGGTTTCAAAGAGATCGGTCGAAATATGTAGGAGGAGATTGCCGGACAAACAAAAGTTTACGCCGGACGGACGGACGGACGGACATATCACAGAGGGATGGACGGTCGGACATATATCACAGAGGGATGGACAGACTGACATATCACAGAGGGATGGACCGTATGTCATACCAAAGAGGGATGGACAGTCTGACATATCACGGAGGGATGGACAGACGGACATATCACAGAGGGATGGACGAACGGACATATCACAGAGCGATGGACGGTCTGACATCACAGAGGGATGGATGGTCTGACATATCACAGCGGGATGGACAGACTGACACATCATAGAGGGATGGACGGACTGACATATCACAGAGGGATGGACAGACTGTCATATCACAGAGGGATGGACGGGATGACATATCACAGAGGGATGGATGCCATCATGGTCTGACATATCACAGAGGGATGGACGGTCTGACATATATCACAGAGGGATGGACGGTCGGACATATATCACAGAGGGATGGACGGTCGGACATATACCAAAGAGGGATGGACAGACTGACATATCACAGAGGGATGGACAGTCTGACATATCACACAGGGATGGACCGTATGTCATACCAAAGAGGGATGGACGGTCTGACATATCACAGAGGGATGAACGGACTGACATATCACAGAGGGATGGACCGTATGTCATACCAAAGAGAGATGGACAGTCTGACATATCACAGAGGGATGGATGGTCTGACATATCACACAGGGATGGACAGACTGACATATCACAGAGGGATGGACGGTCTGACATATTATAGAGGGATGGACAGACTGACATATCACAGAGGGATGGACCGTATGTCATACCAAAGAGGGATGGACGGTCTGACATATCACAGAGGGATGGACGGTCTGACATATCACAGGGGGATGGACGGTTAGCGGATAGAACGATGGCCAGACACAATATGGGAGAAACGTTTGCCCTTCAGACTCTGTTTGGTAAACTTGACTTACCATATTTATCCACAGTGAACTTCCTTTCTGACACTATTTCCTGTAGAAGAGAAAAACCATGAAAATGCTTTATTTCTTTAAAACAGGCTTACTTTTTTATCATATAGATATGAAATATGTATTAAACAGTACTGGTAAGTATATGTAATATTAAACAGTACTGGTAAGTCTATGTGATATGAAATAGTACTGGTAATTATATGTGATATTAAACAGTACTGGAAAGTCTATGTGATATTAAACAGCTCTGGTAGATATATGTGGAATGAAACAGTACTGGTAAGTATGTGATATTAAACAGTACTGGTAAGTATAAGTGATATTAAACAGCACTGGTAAGTAAATGTAATATCAAACAGTACTGGTAAGTATATGTGATATTAAACAGTACTGGTAAGTATATCAGATATTAAACAGTACTGATAAGTATATGTAATATTAAACAGTACTGGTAAGTATATGTGATATTAAACAGTACTCATAAGTATATGTGATATTAAACAGTACAAGTAAGTTTATGTGATATTAAACAGTACTGGTAAGTATATGTGATATTAAACAGTACTGGTAAGCATATGAGATGTAGTGATATCAAACAGTACTGGTAAGTATATGTGATATTAAACAGTACTGGTAAGTATATCAGATATTAAACAGTACTGATAAGTATATGTAATATTAAACAGTACTGGTAAGTATATGTGATATTAAACAGTACTCATAAGTATATGTGATATTAAACAGTACAAGTAAGTTTATGTGATATTAAACAGTACTGGTAAGTATATGTGATATTAAACAGTACTTGTAAGTATATGTGTTATTAAACAGTACTGGTAAGTATATGTGATATTAAACAGTACAAGTAAGTTTATGTGATATTAAACAGTACTGTTAAGTATAAGTGATATTAAACAGTACTGGTAAGTATATGTGATATGAAATAGTACTGGTAAGTATATGTGATATTAAACAGTACTGGAAAGTCTATGTGATATTAAACAGCTCTGGTAGATATGTGTGGAATGAAACAGTACTGGTAAGTATGTGATATTAAACAGTACTGGTAAGTATAAGTGATATTAAACAGCACTGGTAAGTATAAGTGATATTAAACAGCACTGGTAAGTAAATGTGATATGAAACAGTACTGGTAAGTATATCTGATATTGAACAGTACTGGTAAGTATATGTGATATTAAACAGCACTGGTAAGTATATGTGATATTAAAAATACTGGTAAGTATATGTGATATGAAACAGTACTGGTAAGTATATGTGATATTAAACAGCACTGGTAAGAATATGTGATATTAAAAATACTGGTAAGTATATGTGATATTAAAAATACTGGTAAGTATATGTGATATTAACCAGTACTGGTAAGTCTATGTGATATTAAACAGTACTGGTAAGTATATGTGATATTAAACAGTACTGGTAAGTATATGTGATATCAAACAGTACTGGTAAGTCTATGTGATATTAAACAGTACTGATAAACATATAATGAAATGGGGATAAACATTTTGTTGGAGCAACTGTATATTTATATGTATTTATACCGGCATGGTTGTGCCCATGATAGTGATAGTCCACTCCCCTAAGGCTGGGTCATTCACCAGTTGGAAGTCCACAGTGATCACACCTAGAAAATTACAATGTATCATGTCATCAGTTTAATAACACAACTAACATTGATCCTGATCTCATTCTTCTGATGAATTTCCTTGAACTCACTCATTTCACTTTAACATATGTTTGTGTCAGCATTTGACCTTGACATCGCCCTTCAACATGAATGACCTTGCAATGATTAACTGAGATTTTACCCCATCTTTTCCATATGAATGAACTTGATTGAACCTACTCATTTGACCTTGAAACTGTAGTTTCATATGAACCAAATTGATCTCCCTTAATGATTTGTTTAACCTTTTTTCCTACAGCAATGACCTTGAACAAAATTATTCAACATCAACCTCAACAACTCAACATAAATAACAATGATCTCTCTTACCAAGATTTGGAGTGAGGCCTTTGTAGTGAGCTAGTTTGTTTTCATTTGGATCCTGAAAAGAAAGTAAAAATGTTCAGACTTTTCCGAGCAGGAATAAGACAATATAGTGAATGAAGCTGACACAAATAATCATTATTTACAATTTTAACAAAAGTTTGTGATTTTTGTAGTATCTCCAAAAGTTTGTGATTTTTGTAGTATCTCCAAAAGTTTGTGATTTTTGTAGTATCTCCAAAAGTTTGTGATTTTTGTAGTATCTCCAAAAGGTTGTGATTTTTGTAGTATCTCCAAAAGAACCCTTAAACGTTTATTCTCACTAAAACAGATTCAGTGTAAGTGTTCATGTGTGTATTCCCTTCAGTTGAGTTTATCAGTAGATAAGTATTTTTATTACAGTTTTATTGACAGATTTAAACATCAGTTTTTACAGTATTTCTACATGACCAAGTCAGGCATCTATTTCAGAATTTAATGTGAAAACAGCCTGACTGCTTGTTACTTATTGTTTGTTTAAATTTCATCCAGTCAACTATTTTCAAATCACAGAAGTCTAGGTGTGGGGCAAAACCACTAGGCCATTCTAGTACCATACGTGTATGTATATGTGGTTATTGAGAGCAGATCGCAACTGTTTCCACATTGTGACCAATAACTAAGTCACTAGGGGTGTGGCCAGACCACAGGGTCAATTCTAATATCCTGATTGTGTTTGTCTGTTTGTGCCCATATGGTTATGGGGGTAGGAATCAAATCTGTTGCAAAGTCATGGCCTAGGAATTAAGTCCCTAAAGGTGGGGCCTGACCCCAGAGTCATTTTCGTGGGTACATGAATTTGGGGATTACAAGTATCCTTTCAAACGGAAAATTGCTTTATCAACTTCTTTGATCTATGAATACGTGGAGAAAGATAACCTTAGAAATAAACGAAATTAAAGACCCCACAAAAAAATTGTAATTTCACAGTATTTGTCCTGAAATTGGGGCGTCTGGATTGGGTAGTAATCTGGAGCGATTGGACATTATACACATTAAGGCAGTACAAAGTTTAAACAAGAGGCCCAGAGGGCCTGTATAGTTCGCCTGTTTCTTTTGTTACATGAAACTGACATATAGGTAACTTTATACCAAATTTGGTAACTAGAACACAAGACATTTTAACATCTCTTGAATGGTTCTTCAGATATTGTTGTTTGAAATTTGAAATTCTAATTTTAAAGCTTTAACCCACATTGACCTTTAACTCTGGCTAGCACTTAAAGTTGACCTTTGACCTAATTACTTTGATAGAGAAAACAATTTACACAGCTGGTCTAAATAACATACCAAGGTATCATGACCCTAGATCAAATGGTTTTCAAGATATTATTGTTTGAAGTTTTTAATATATTTGACCCCTGTGACCTTGAAAAAAGGTCAAGGTAATTTTTTTGAGGAGCATTCCACCCATGTACCAAATGGCCAAATATCATGACCCTGGCCCTTCGGAGCTAGGTCAAGGTAATTTTAATGAGGAAACTTTAAAGTACTTCATCCCAAGTACCTTGACAGGTAACTCAAATCACTAGAGAATATAGATACATCAGACAACAGAGGAACTTACTTTGATGATGACGTCCAGGTCAGTGTCCAGAGGCTTGGTGTCTGAGGACAACGCTGCCCCTCTAATGTGAACTGCAAACAACACCAAGGTCAAATATTTAATTATCAAGACAGCAAGCAAATGTGCTGATGGATGAGTTTAACCTGTAGGTCAATTTCTATCTCACTCAGGATGTCTATTTCTATCAATCTATATAACCTTGTATTCTGTGTAAGTCATTATCTATCTATATTTATGGTCTGTGTAAGTCATTATCTATCTATACTTGTGGTCTGCGTAAGTCATTATCTATCTATACTTGTGGTCTGTGTATTAAGACATTATCTATCTGTACTTGTGGCCTGTGTATTAAGACATTATATATCTGTACTTCTGGTCTGTGTATTAAGACATTATCTATCTGTCCTTGTGGTCTGTGTATTAAGTCATTCTCTATCTGTACTTGTGGTCTGTGTAAGTCATTCTCTATCTGTACTTGTGGTCTATGTATTAAGTCATTCTCTATCTGTACTGGTGGTCTGTGTATTAAGACATTATCTATATGTACTTGTGGTCTGTGTAAGTCATTATCTATCTATACTTGTGGGCTGCGTAAGTCATTATCTATCTATACTTGTGGGCTGCGTAAGTCATTATCTATCTATACTTGTGGGCTGCGTAAGTCATTATCTATCTATACTTGTGGTCTGTGTATTAAGACATTATCTATCTGTACTTGTGGTCTATGTATTAAGTCATTCTCTATCTGTCCTTATGGTCTGTGTATTAACACATTATCTATCTGTACTTGTGGTCTGTGTATTAAGACATTATCTATCTGTACTTGTGGTCAGTGTAAGTCATTATCTATCTGTACTTGTGGTCAGTGTATTAAGACATTATCTATCTGTACTTGAGGTCTGTGTATTAAGACATTATCTATCTGTACTTGTGGTCTGTGTAAGTCATTCTCTATCTGTACTAGTTGGTTTATGTATTAAGACATTGTCTATCTGTACTTGTGGTCTGTGTATTAAGTCATTATCTATCTGTACTTGAGGTCTGTGTATTAAGTCATTATCTATCTGTACTTGTGGTCTGTGTATTAAGACATTATCTATCTGTACTTGTGGTCTGTGTATTAAGACATTATCTATCTGTACTTGTGGTCTGTGTATTAAGACATTATCTATCTGTACTTGTGGTCTGTGTATTAAGACATTATCTATCTGTACTTGTGGTCTGTGTATTAAGACATTATCTATCTGTACTTGTGGTCTGTGTATTAAGACATTATCTATCTGTACTTGTGGTCTGTGTATTAAGACATTATCTATCTGTACTTGTGGTCTGTGTATTAAGACATTATCTATCTGTACTTGTGGTCTGTGTATTAAGACATTATCTATCTGTACTTGTGGTCTGTGTATTAAGACATTATCTATCTGTACTTGTGGTCTGTGTATTAAGACATTATCTATCTGTACTTGTGGTCTGTGTATTAAGACATTATCTATCTGTACTTGTGGTCTGTGTATTAAGACATTATCTATCTGTACTTGTGGTCTGTGTATTAAGACATTATCTATCTGTACTTGTGGTCTGTGTATTAAGACATTATCTATCTGTACTTGTGGTCTGTGTATTAAGACATTATCTATCTGTACTTGTGGTCTGTGTATTAAGACATTATCTATCTGTACTTGTGGTCTGTGTATTAAGACATTATCTATCTGTACTTGTGGTCTGTGTATTAAGACATTATCTATCTGTACTTGTGGTCTGTGTATTAAGACATTATCTATCTGTACTTGTGGTCTGTGTATTAAGACATTATCTATCTGTACTTGTGGTCTGTGTATTAAGACATTATCTATCTGTACTTGTGGTCTGTGTATTAAGACATTATCTATCTGTACTTGTGGTCTGTGTATTAAGACATTATCTATCTGTACTTGTGGTCTGTGTATTAAGACATTATCTATCTGTACTTGTGGTCTGTGTATTAAGACATTATCTATCTGTACTTGTGGTCTGTGTATTAAGACATTATCTATCTGTACTTGTGGTCTGTGTATTAAGACATTATCTATCTGTACTTGTGGTCTGTGTATTAAGACATTATCTATCTGTACTTGTGGTCTGTGTATTAAGACATTATCTATCTGTACTTGTGGTCTGTGTATTAAGACATTATCTATCTGTACTTGTGGTCTGTGTATTAAGACATTATCTATCTGTACTTGTGGTCTGTGTATTAAGACATTATCTATCTGTACTTGTGGTCTGTGTATTAAGACATTATCTATCTGTACTTGTGGTCTGTGTATTAAGACATTATCTATCTGTACTTGTGGTCTGTGTATTAAGACATTATCTATCTGTACTTGTGGTCTGTGTATTAAGACATTATCTATCTGTACTTGTGGTCTGTGTTTTAAGTCATTATCTATCTGTACTTGTGGTCTGTGTATTAAGTCATTATCTATCAGTACTTGTGGTCTGTTTATTAAGTCATTATCTATCTGTACTTGTGTTCTGTGTATTAAGACATTGTCTATCTGTACTTGAGGTCTGTGTATTAAGTCATTATCTATCAGTACTTGTGGTCTGTGTATTAAGACATTATCTATCTGTACTTGTGTTCTGTGTATTAAGACATTATCCATCTGTACTTGTAATCTGTCTTACCTGTTTGGCTTTCTTTGTACATCTGTTTATCTGTTTGGATCAGGATCAATCCTGTTTTGGGGAGAACATCTAAATCTTGTTTGATCTTGAACACAACTCCGGATTTGCTTTCCACTTTCAGGTAATGTTTTCCTGCTAACATGTCGTCTTTTATCTGAAGACAGAAGTGGAATCGCTTATGGACAGAAAACAACAAATAAATTACACAACCACTGATAGATGTTACACAACCACTGACAGAGTTTACACAACCACAGACAGAGTTTCGCAACCACTGACAGATGTTACACAACCACTGACAGAGTTTACACAACCACTGACAGAGTTTACACAACCACTGACAGAGTTTACACAACCACAGACAGAGTTTCGCAACCACTGACAGATGTTACACAACCACTGACAGAGTTTACACAACCACTGACAGAGTTTACACAACCACAGACAGAGTTTACACAACCACTGACAGAGTTTACACAACCACTGACAGAGTTTACACAACCACTGACAGAGTTTACACAACCACTGACAGAGTTTACACAACCACTGACAGAGTTTACACAACCACTGACAGAGTTTACACAACCACTGACAGAGTTTACACAACCACTGACAGAGTTTACACAACCACTGACAGAGTTTACACAACCACTGACAGAGTTTACACAACCACTGACAGAGTTTACACAACCACTGACAGAGTTTACACAACCACTGACAGAGTTTACACAACCACTGACACAGTTTACACAACCACTGACAGAGTTTACACAACCACTGACAGAGTTTACACAACCACTGACAGTTTACACAACCACTGACAGAGTTTACACAACCACTGACAGAGTTTACACAACCACTGACAGTTTACACAACCACAGACAGAGTTTACACAACCACAGACAGTTTACACAACCACTGACAGTTTACACAACCACTGACAGAGTTTACACAACCACTGACAGAGTTTACACAACCACTGACAGAGTTTACACAACCACTGACAGAGTTTACACAACCACAGACAGAGTTTACACACCACTGACAGAGTTTACACAACCACTGACAGTTTACACAACCACAGACAGTTTACACAACCACTGACAGAGTTTACACAACCACAGACAGAGTTTAAACAACCACAGACAGTTTATACAACCACATACAGAGTTTACACAACCACAGACAGAGTTTACACAACCACAGACAGTTTATACAACCACAGACAGAGTTTATACAACCACAGACAGTTTACACAACCACAGACAGTTTATACAACCACAGACAGTTTATACAACCACAGACAGTTTATACAACCACAGACAGTTTATACAACCACAGACAGAGTTTACACAACCACAGACAGTTTATACAACCACAGACAGAGTTTACACAACCACTGATAGAGTTTCCACAACCACAGACAGAGTTTACACAACCACTGACAGAGTTTACACAACCACTGACAGAGTTTACACAACCACAGACAGAGTTTACACAACCACTGACAGAGTTTACACAACCACAGACAGTTTATACAACCACAGACAGAGTTTACACAACCACAGACAGTTTATACAACCACAGACAGAGTTTACACAACCACTGATAGAGTTTAAACAACCACAGACAGAGTTTACACAACCACTGATAGAGTTTACACAACCACAGACAGAGTTTACAGGGGGTAAAGTATTTATACACAATACTTACCCTCAGAGTAATCAGTTGCTGTTCATCTGAAAATAAAAATCACTTAATTAAAGCCGACATTGCTAATCCAGTCATCATTAATCCTGTTGTCCCAATATCCAGTCAAAACTTTTCCTATTGTCAAACTTTCCAGTCAAAACTTTTCCTATTGTCCAACTTTCCAGTCAAAACTTTTCCTGTTGTCCAACTTTCCAGTCAAAACTCATCCTGTTTTCCCACTATCCAGTTAAAACTTATCCTGTTGTCCCACTATCCAGTCAAAACTCATCCTGTTGTCCCACTATCCAGTCAAAACTTATCCTGTTGTCCCACTATCCAGTTAAAACTTATCCTGTTGTCCCACTATCCAGTCAAAACTTATCCTGTTGTCCCACTATCCAGTCAAAACTTTTCCTGTTTTCCAATTATCCAGTCAAAACTTATCCAGTTGTCCCACTATCCAGTCATAACTTTTCCTGTTTATCCACTATCTTATCCAAACTTATCCTCCTTTCCCACTATATATCCTTATAATGAGCATATCTAACCATAGTTTGGTCTACTTCATAGGACTTTCACACTCATAGTAAAGACAATAATGATGGGTTCCATGAACCACAATTTTAAAACTGTGCCTGGTGGTTATTACATTTTATGGATAGACCGGTCTAATTATGAACTATTAAACTGAGCTGCAGTTAGCATTGTTACTTGTGTTCATTAAAGGATTGAAATTCATCTTCTTAACATTGCTGATGGTATGCGATACAACGTTATTCAAACATATTTCATGATGCATGGTAGCACATCTTAGATATTATGTTTAAATGGACCTGTGTTGCATAAATATGAAATCCTTATATTTACATTCAAAAAGCAGAAAACTAATATTTTATTGTTCTTTGCAGTCTCACTCTGTTCAAAATTAATTTTAAACAAATTATTTTAACAAATGGAAGAACAGTTGTTGTTTTTTTGCTGGAACAGGCAACCAACTTTAATAGGAAAACATTCAAGCATTTCTGTCAAAATTTAAATTGGACATGATGTCATGATTGGTCATAGATAACTCAAACAGTTTGACGGAAAGACCCAAAGAGTTTCCAATCGGACAACCCTCATATGTATTAGTTCTTACTGTTATTCCTGGAATAAAACAATCTTTTAGTTGGTAGGTTTATCTAAGTGCCGCACAAAGGAAATATTAACATTTAATAACCTAACTTGTAGTAGTCTGTCAAATGTAACATTGGCTAGTGACAGATTTAAGAAGGCCGCACACTCGTTGTAACATACTTGAGAATGAGGAGGTTTGTTCTAAATCAGCTGGATTCAGTACCAATGTCACACCAACCCATCAATGAACAGACGTACATACCCTGATAAAAGGAGGTAAAATTAAACTTACTTGCGTCATTGCCAACAAAGTTCGCTGTCACAGGTTCAACCTGTACCTGGTTAGAGACGTCGGTGATCGATGCCTCCACGGTGGCGGGGCCAGACGGTACTAACAGAGCCACTTTGACTGTAAACAAGTAGCCTCTCCGTGCCTTAGCTGGGGCCGTCACAATGTACTTGCTGTAACAGAAGAAATTCAGACATTTTACTGAAGCTTAGTCGTTCTTGAAACTTTGCAACACGTTTAATATGTACATTGTGTTGAGTAAAGCTTTGATATTGTCCAAACTGATTAATCTTATTGAAGAAAATGTAGATGAAATAAACAAAATATAATCAACAAACTTGTTCTGAATGTTAAATGTTCTACTGAGCTACCTCAACAACAGAAGTGTATGAGCCCAAATGTGCTACAGTTATATTCTTACGGAAATTAAGGGGAGGTTACTGTATGTAGGAAAAACGGTAGTGCAGTGGGACGGGGATCCTGAAGCACCTAATTATGAGCAAATGCTCATAAATGTTATACTAAAATATCTGGTTAAATAATTTCAATAAGTTTCCACTTTTTTAGTTGCTTTAAAAACCAGCCGTTCTTTAAGTTCTATGTTACATACATAATCATGTATATTTCAGTGAGATGGGAGTGAAATCAATACAGGACTATCTCTGTATAGTGTGGACCAATAGTCTGGGTAAAATCTTATGTTATGGTACTTTGTATTGATTTCACATCAAGTTCACATTTTCATAGAAGCTGACAGCAGAGATGAATCTACCCTTCGTAATACATGTTTAAGACAGCTAAATGATCCTATTTAGGTTTTAACAAGTGGCCCAATGGGCCTGCATCACTCACCTGCTATCCAATGCTGTGTGCAATCATCTCTGACCTTCAAAGTGGGTCAAGGTCATATTCATTTTAAACAAACCTAACACAGTAAAAGGCAACCATGCTAACATTACACTATAAATGTCGTTACTCGACACCCTGTGGAACTGTATTACTCGACACCCTGTGGAACTGTATTACTCGAAACCCTGTGGAACTGTATCAGAAGTTTTAATTGAATTTCACAGATGATACTTACAGGTAGTCAAGATCAGTTATTTTAGCATACTTAGGACTCTTTTGATCAAAGTGATACATTATTTTTTAAGAGTTTGATATCCTTCATTCAAACTTCCCACTGGCTAAACATGATAACATTGACCAGCTCTTCATTATTGATTTTAAAGGTTTTACCCCTAACCTTGAGAAATGGCCTAGGTCAGACTGGATAGACAGACTCCCATTCCAGCAATTGCTACTGGCCAAGTCCCGTTACTCTAGGCCTCGTGGTTGAGCAGAACGAGATACCCAAAGGCCGTAACGGGGACACAAGTTGTAATCCAATGGTTATTTTGTGTATAACAAAGCAAAATAACATATATAGCAAATATGAGTTTTTTACTTTCACCAACAAATTGATTTAGGCATGACCAACATGTATATATAGCTGATAAACAAGTATATATATATATATAGCTGATAAGTCCAAAATTAGACATTGAAAGTCTAATATAATCTCTTGTATTCCGGTTCATCTTCATTTTTATCTCAATACCTTTTTTTTAATCTGAAACTCAACATGGTATACCAATTTAGATTGAATATTTTAATGGTTTTCTTTTTTTTGAATTTCAGCAATTTTGCATAAACAATTTCCAATTCAATCATCTTGCAAAAACAAAAATTACTAAAACCCTTACCGGTAACATATTCAAACTGCTTGAATGAGTCGAGAAGTGTGCAGAAATGATTTTGGATAGACAAGAAACACTAACCAACGACCAGAACAGTGCCTCATGAAGATTTACCTACACTTTTGGCATTGTTTTCTTTTTCATAAAAAAGTCCAGTAATTAATCCAGTCAAACAGTTCTAGTGATTTTTCCCAGTCTGACATTAAAACCACTTGAATACACTTCTTGTAAAAATCATTTACATTAAACCAACCAAGAGGCCCAGAGGGCCTGTATTGCTCACCTGAATATTTAAGCAGTCATAGCAAAATATTCTCATTAAATATTATATTGCACTACAAACATTTCCCTCGCAAACTTTGTCGGCTCCATCTGTTGAAACTACCAGCCAAATATTATTATAAGATTCTATGCTTTTGGATTCTTCTTAAGAAGTTACTTGACATATATTTTTCCCTGTGACCTTGTCGGTAGGTCAATGTCATTTTCCTTCTCATACTTTGTTAGCTCTATCCCAAAAAGCTACCAGCCAAATCTTATGATACTATTCCTTTTGGTCCTTAAGAACAAATCCTTTAAAATGTTGTTGACCTCTATGACCTTTGAGGTAGGTTAAGGTCATTTTCATTCGCAAACTTTGGTGAACTCTATCCCAGGAAGCCACCAGCCAAATATTTTAATTTTATGCCTTCGATTATTCAGAAGAAGTTGTTTGATGGTTTTTTTTTAATATTTGACACCTGTGACCTTGAATGAAGGTCAAGGTCATTTTCATTCTCAAACTTTGTCAGGCTCTTTATCAGGAAGCCAACAGCCAAATATAAAGATTCTATACCTTTTACTTCTTCAGAAGAAGTCGTTTCAAGCGTTTGACACATTCGACCCCTATGACCTTGAAACCAGGTCAAGGTAATTTTCATTCGCAAACTTTGTCAGGTTCCTACCAGCGAAGCTTTCAGCCAAATATCATGACTCTAGGCCTGTCCGTTCTTCAGCAGAAGGTGTTTAAAGGAAAAGCTGACGGACGACGGACAGACGGACGACGGACGGACAAAGGACGGACAACGGACGCCGCACCATGACATAAGTTCACTTGCCCTTCGGGCAGGTGAGCTAAAAAAGAAAAGAACTTCATTTAAACCCGAGTTCTATGTTCACATGCCATACCTGTTGGTGGAAAGTGCTAGGGGCAGGACGGCCACCATTATGACAAGGAAAAGGGCCCAGGAAGGACTCGGACAGGTAGCCATAGCAATAGACTTCCCAGTCTGCCTCTTCAAGTTGGAGAAATCTTCACTTTTCTGGAAAAGAAAACAACACCTATATTTACCAGTTATACATGTAGAGCCTAACTGACAAAAATTATCTTCAACAGCAACACAGAGACAACCACGGCTTGACTTTTCTGCAGTCCAAAGTGTGGTTATTTAATAAAAGTGTTTTGTGAATTAGTTCAATATTAATTGGCTCAACCAAACATATGTGTGAAACATAGTTTGCGCAGCCACAGTTTATATCTTTGCACCTATATGCAGTATCTGTCGCAAGATAACCTGCACAAATACAATAGCATATACCCAGTCAATCAATCAAGTTTTGTGGTAATCTGTCGCTGCTAAGTCCGCACAGCCACAAATAATCTGCTAACAATTTGTAGTAATCGGCGAGACTTTGTCTGGACCGCTACAAACTCACTGCCTACGTACACTGAGAGGAATGGTACCACCCAAATGCTAGAGTCAAGTTGAGTCTTCCCAACATGCCAAATCTTTTTATTTTATTAGGATGTATTTTGATATGTATATGTTGTATGTTGTATGAAATGTTGTGATGATCAGTGATGAAGGTGTAGATAATCAAAAGTTGTACATAACTATACATGTCTATTGTTTGTTCAATTTAAACATGATATTGAGGTGAACATAGATAAAGTCAAATTTAATGAAGTAAATCGCCATGTTACGTCTGAATGACACAAGATGGAACCTACACTGATTCTTGTTTCTGATAATCTAATAGGAG